AATCAATCAGATGCAGAGTTCAAAACACAGGTTGCTCAAGGAACTAGGTGAGACATTCAAGGAACTTAGTGAGAACATCAACAACATAAAAAAGGACCAGTCAGAAATGAAGGATGCACTAACTGAAATAAAGAATAATTTATAGGGAATCAATAGTAGAGTGGGTAAAGCCAAGAAGCAAACCATCAATTTGGAATATAAGGAAGCAAAAAACGCCCAATCAGAACAGCAAACAGAAAAAAGAATCCAAAAAAATGAGGATAGTGTAAGGAGCCTCTGGGACAACTTCAAGTGTGCCAACATTCACATCTAAGGGGTGCTAGAAGGAGAAGAGAGAGAACAAGAAATTGAAAACCTATTTGAAAAAATGACAGAAAACTTCCCTAATTTGGTGAAGGAAACAGACATACAAGTCCAGGAAGCACAGAGAGTCCCAAACAAGATGAACCCCAAGAGGCCCACACCAAGACACATCATCATCAAAATGCCAAAGGTTAAATACAAAGAGAGAATTTTAAAAGCAGCAAGAGAAAAGCAATTAGTTACCTACAAAGGAGCTCCCATAAGGCTGTCAGCTGACTTCTCAAAAGAAACTTTGCAGGCCAGAAAGGAGTGGCAAGAGATATTCAAGGTGATGAACAATAACGACCTACAACCAAGACTACTCTATCCTACAAAGCTATCATTTAGAATCGATAGACATATAAAAAATTTCCCAAACAAGAAAAAGTTAAAGGAGTTCATCACCACCAAACCAGTTATTTTATGAACTGCTGAAGGGTCTTCTTGAAGGAAAAGAAGAACAAAAATATGAACAATAGCCCTGGCCAGTTTTCTCAGTGGTTAGAGCGTCGGCCTGTGGTCCAGAGAGACCAGGGTTCGGTTCCCGCTAAGGGCACGTACCTCAGTTGCGGTTTGTCCCTGGCCCTGGTTGGGTCGTGTGGGTGGCGGCCACTCGATGTGTTCCTTTCACATCGATGCTTCTCTCTCTCTCTCTCTCCCTCCCACTCTATCTGAACAAAAAATGGAAAAGAGTGTCCTCGGGTGAGGATAAAAAAAAATATGAACAATAAAATGACAATTAATACATATCTATCAACAATTGAATCTACAAACAAAATGAGCAAGCAGAAGAGAAACAGACTCATAGGTACAGAGAACATTTTGTTGCTTGCCTGATGGGCAGGGATGGGGGGGAATGGGTGAAAAAGATGAAGGAATTAAGAAGTACAAATTGGTTGTTAGACTGATGAACCTCAATGGGAAGTGGGGAAGGGAGGGCAGGATAAGATAAACCAAAGAACTTCTATGCATATATGCATAAAAAATGGACATAGACAATAGTGTGGAGAAGGCTGGAGGGCGGTGGGATTGGGGAAGAGGAGGTCAATGGGGAAAAAAAGGGGGGACACCGGTAATACAGTCAACAATAAAGATGAGTTAAAAACACACACACACACACACACAGCCCTGGCCAGTTTGGCTCAGCGGTTAGAGCATCAGCCTGTGGTCCCAAGAGGCCCAGGTTCAGTTCCCGCTAAGGGCACGTACCTCGGTTGCAGTTTGTCCCCGGCCCTGGTTGGGTTGTGCAGGTGACAACTACTCGATGTGTCCTTTTCACGTTGATGTTTCTCTCTCTCTCTCCCCCTCCCACTCTATCTGAACAAAATATCAAAAAAAAAAAATGTCCTCAGGTGAGGATAAAACACACACACACACACACACACACACACAGAGAGAGAGAAAAAGGCCTCTTCTTAGTATTTGCCCTACTCTGAGCCCTCTTTAGCATCTAACATTGCTGACCACTCTCCACTCCAATCCCTCTTCTTAGAAAATAATCTTTTGCCTTTGAAGGCCTGTGTGTTTCAGAGTTTTTTCCCGATTCTTCTAATCATTCTTCCTCTATGGCTGGCTCTAGAAAGAGTCTTTGACTTTCCATTTTCCTGCAAGTCATCTCCCCCTTGGTTTGCTGCATGGCTATCTTGTCTCCCTAGTTTTTTCTTACCCCTCCATGCAGTGCCGTATGTATGCTCAGTAAAGGTGTGTGGAGCAATACCAAACAGAACTAGGTCTGAAAGCAGTGACTGAACTGGCCTTCTGCCTCCGCAGCACCACCTTTACCATTGTCCCCTCTCAACCTCCTCTGCCTCTGCCCTGCCTCCTCACTATACATTGGGGTGACCTACGTCTGCAGCATTGTCTCAGGAAAACAGAGCATGTGCCAGCTCCTAAGTCCTCTTTGACTTCAAACCTACATTTTAATTTGTGATGGACTATGCTTAGACTTTAAAAGAGAATCACCACTTACAAATCCATCAAATTCAAACACTAACTCTGACCTAAAATACACAAAGTTCTTCTTTCCTCTTCTTAAGTATTGTCCCTAGCAGCTGGACTCCCAAGATAATCCTGATATTCTGAAGTCTGCCACACGGAGTTGCTTTAACACAAAGTAGCCCCACTACAAAAGATCTTGTCCTTCATCCCCATCTATTCTTCATGGTATTCCTTTCTCCATCACTCCTAACTGCCCCCCAACTGGTATATTACACAGAGTCCAGAGTTTGGGTTTCTATTGTTGTTGTTTTTACTTTTTCAATTGATGTATAACTTACATGTAGTAAAACACATAACTCCTAAGTGGACAGCTTGATGAACTTAAAAAAAAAAAAAAAATATAGATATAGATATAGATATAGATATAGATATAGATATAGATATAGATATAGATATAGATATATAAAATCTCCATGTAACCACCACCCAGATCACTATATAGTCCATTTCTAGCACCTCAGAAGATTTTCTTGTACTTTCCCCCACACCCTGCCAGTTGATAACTTCTCAAAGGCGACCATTATTCTGACCTCTATTATCAGAGTTCTTTTTTGTCTGTCATTTTAAACTCATATATAAATAGAATCATACAGTATTTAAATTTTTCTGCCTGGCCTTTTTTGATCAACATTATGCCATATAATCTACCTTTTAAATCAACCATGTATATTCTCCAAAATTAGTAGAAATCAATCAAGCTATTTTCAAAGCATAATTTGATAATAAACAAAAAAAACTTTAGCTCACCTGCCGGTGTAGCTCACCGATCCCCAGTGGGGAGCATGCAGAGGCAACAAATTGATGTTCGCTCTCATCAATGTTTCTATATCTCTCTTTCTTTTACTCTCTCACTAAATCAATAAAGAAAAAATATTTATATAAAAAAAGAAACTTTAGCTTAGGAGTATATTTTATGAATAAGAAAGTCAGTGTAAAATTGGTATCTGTGAATTTATTAGTAGGCTTATATAGAAAACAGTGCCACTTGAGTGGGTTTTTATTAGATTAGCACTGAAAATTAGTTTGAAAAAATACTACAGATTAACTTCATTTACAAAGAAGGTCAGTAAGTAATAAAGTATGATCCAATTTTCAACATAGACAAGAGGATTGGAATTGAAAAAAAAAAATACTGGCACTTAAAAACTTATATCCACATGTTCTTGTGCTTTAAAATGTATTTTGTCTGTCTAATTCCAAAGCTATCTTGCTGTCTTTCTCACACTCACTGAGTGTGATGTTTTAGGAGCTACTCAAAAGAATTTTCTGAGACATATCTGAGAACAAAAATTGAAATCACTGCTTTGAAAATGACAGATTACTCAAATACTGAAACACAGTTGTCCCCCATTTATCGCGGTTAATCCATTCCAGACTCTAGCGGTTGCACCTGGCGTTGAAGGATTCCTGGGGTGCTCGAATACATAGGCCTACAGTCCATACGTACAGTGATTTTAATTTTACTTGTAATACAGGGGTGTATAATTGACTCAGACAAGCGAGTGCTTGCTGTATCATTTTCACTGTCTCGATCAGCTTTTTAATGAATATACTTGAAAAAACCGCGATAGAGTGAAGCTGCGAAAATTGAAGGGCGAAGTGGCAAGAGACAACTGTAAATACTCTACGCAATACAAATTTTTGATTATTACTTTAATGTACTATTTAGCCTTCAAATTGTTTATGTTTAATTGACATTAAATATAATATAACTAGCCCTGGCCGGTTTAGTTCAGTGGTAGAGCATCGGCCCGAAGACCAATGAGTCCCGGGTTCGATTCCGGCCAAGGGCACCTACCTGGGTTTTGGCTTGTCCCGGGCCCTGGTCAGGTCATGCAGGAGGCAACCTGTCAATGTGTCCCTCTCACGTGGATGTTTCTCTCTCTCTCCCTCTCTCTCCTTCCCACTGTATCTGAAGATAAATAGAAAAAATATCCTCAGGTGAGGATTTTAAAAAATATATACACACACACATATATATGTATGTATATATATATTATATATATACAAAATATATTATATATATATATAAGTAATGTAACTATAAATTACATCTGCTTAGCCAACTTCTTGGCCTCCTGCCTTATTTGTCCAACAATCAAAAAGACATATCCATGTAAACATGACATAGCATCCTCAAACACATTACTAGTTTTGCCTCTTTTATTCTGCATATGGGTGAAGTGCAATCCCAGCCAGATACCTGGAGGTCAACCTAAACACCTACTCCCTCTCCCTTCACAACCCAAGCACCACATTCTATCCATTCTACCCTAGCACCCTATTTCTACCCTATTTCTTATCCTGCACTCTTCTTTCTATTGCTACCAACATGGACTTAGTCCTGACTCTGTTTCTTACCTGTATAACTATTTGTAATCCTCCTACAACTAGCCTTGCCTCTAGTCTTCCTGTGATTGAATCTATTTGGTGTATTGAACAATACACATTTGGTGAAGGTCTGCTTTGCGAAGTTCTCTGGCTCCAGGGTCAGAAAGATGAGTAAGATAGTTCCTCCCACTGACCGGCTTACATTGGAGGGATTTCAGCGGATACTTATTTTATTCTCCATACCCTTTTGTTTTGCTTGAATTTTTTTTTTTAACCCCAAGCACATGTAATTTTGATAAAAGCTATAATAATGTTTTATTAAAATTTACCTTCGGAATTCAAGTGTTTTGGTGTCATCTTTCCAGTACCACATGCCTAATCGCAATCCCAACTGCTGTAAAATGAAATGATTTGCAGCAAAAATAATTAAAAGTTCAATTTACAAACATATTTTAAAAATATATAAATAAAAATATAAGTTCAATTTACAATCCACATGTGACAATAAACATTTAACAATAATTCCCACTAGTTACTCTTTATTCCATCAAGATATAGAATCTTAAAGTGTTTTTAAAAATTTTTTATTTGAAGCCATAATTTTCTCCTTTTTGATTGTTGTTATGTGTAGTTTCAGTGGAAAGGAAGGGAAGAAAGGGACGAAGGGAAGTTACAAAACAGCCTGCGCCCATCATAGCAACTGACCGATTGTGCTCAGACCACAATAAACGGACGCCCGGGGCAGCCGCACCGTGTGGAGTTAGACTCCGCACTGCAGGAGCCTAACCGACCGCCCTTCCGAGGACGGCAGCACAGGACAGGTGTCCCCCTTTCCCTGCGAGCTACCGACCCGCGGGCCTTTCCTCTAGGGGGTCCGGCCCAGGGCAGGGCTGCTTCTTCCGCAGGAGGGCTCTTTATTTTGGAGGTGGTGAGGTGCAGCTTCCAGAAATACCTAAATATCTGCGCGGGAAGCCAGAACGCATTCTGGCCGTTTCCCGAATACACTTCTCCAGTTCCGTGTTGGCGGGCACTACGCCCTTTCACCCGGGAGTCCGCGGGCCCTGGGGCTGGGCGGCGGCTCCGCAGGGGAGGCGGGAGGAGGGGAGCGAGGGCGGAGGGGCGCCGCGGGCAGGGCCAGGGCAGCGGGGCGGCTTCCACCGCCGCGGGGATGGGCGACCCAGGCTGCACTTACATCCTGTCGGGAAACTGGCTGCACGTCCAAACGCTTCCTCCTCGAAAAATCCTCCCGCACCTGGTACATGGCCTCATTCACGGGCCTCACGGCGTCGCCGAGGCAACCGGCCGCGGGCGTGGGGCGCTCCGGCTTCCGCCGCGGGCCGGCCGCCGACGCGGGTCCGGGAGGCGCCTCGGCACCGGCGCCCTTCGCTCCACCTGACGACAGCTTTTGCTGTGGTGGCTTTATTGGCGTATCCAAGGCAAAGCTGCCGGGGCTGGGGGTAGGGTGTATTCCATGAAGAATTGACTCCTTCACGTTACCGTTTTGTGTTTACTTGGAATAACTAGATTCACTTCCACGGGGAAGTTCTCCAGGCTTCAAGTTCAAATCCGGGTGGGACTGCACTGATTTGGGGCAGGGCAGGGGTTGGGGGTTGAAGGGGACGAAGCTTGGAAATAAGGTTTTCAAAACTTGGTTGTGCTGCATAACCTGGTGTGAAACCTAGGGCGATACAACACTGATTACACTTCCGAAGATACGCAAATCAGGGGTTATGAAAAGTTTTAAGGAGTAATGTGTGTAAAGTATTGCCATTAATGACTCAAAATTAGCGTTGTTCAAAGCAAAGAAACTTGCTTTGTATCAATGTGTATTCAAATTGATATTTATATTTACACTTTTCACGTCATGTGATTTTTACTTGCAACTGTTCTGATAAGCAAATTATAGTCTTTCCTTCCAACAGATATAATTAATGCTAAATGACACAACGTGATTGGGAATGCCTCATATATTCTTTTGTTTTATCCCCACAGCTTGCTTAGCATGAGATGCTCAGTAAATAGTTGGTGATTGTATACTCCCATAAACTTTAAAAATATGGCAGTAGCCCTGGCCCTTTAGCTCAGCGGTTGGAGCATTGGCCTTCAGACCGAGGGGTTGCGGGTACCATTCCCGGTCAGGGTCACATATCTGGGTTGCAGGTTTTAGACCCAGCCAGGTTGGGGTTGTGCTGGAGACAACCAATCTGTGTCTATCACATGGATGTTTCTCTCTCTCTGTCTCTCTCTCTGTCTCCCTCCCTCTGTCTTCCGCTCTCTCTGGGAACCAATGGAAAATATCCAAGGTAAGGATTAGCAAAAATAAAAATATAAAAAATAGGGAGGGGGAGGGGATAGACATTTCCACTACCTCCATCCTCCCAGTCTCACTACTTGGTAAGACAGTCACTCGTTACAGTAATATAAAACTGTAATCAGATTTATGCTTCATTCACTTGAGTCCACTGCTGATAGTTGTTCAAGTTGGCTCAAGACACATAAAAACCCACCTACCTAAACACTGGCAGTGCTGGTTTGAGGCTGCGGCCTCAGGCTGGCTTATTACAAGATGACTCATTTGAAAAGGAGTAAGACTAGCCTAGTCACCAAAAGTTTTTCATCAAGCAGTGTATATAACTTGGGGTAGGGAGGACAGGGAGAAATAATAAGCTGAAGCTCCAGAAGAACCTGGAATCTATTCACCTCACAATCACTACCAGGAAGACAGACCATACTTCAACCTCTAGTTTATCCCAATGAATGAAGAAAAACAAAGATCTTGTACACCTCACCACAGTTTAACTTCAGGCTGTCTAATGTGCAAAACGAATGTGAAAATAAGAGTTGAGAACCCAAAACAATGACCTACATAAAAGTTACAAGTTATTTCACATGTGCTAGAGGGACATAGTATTTAAAGGAAACTTTCTATAACTCCAAACAACCATCTGCTACTTCTGTATTACCAAACCCTAACAAAAGAGGGAAGATTGTTTTTATTGTTCTAAATCATTATTTAAAAAGTGACCCAACTCATTTCTTAGGTTAGATTTTTCTCTAATAGCTTTAAATGACATTAGAAGTTCACAACCTAAAATGGAAATATAATTTTCCCTTTAGGAAAAAAAATTCATGATATTATAGTACAGATAAAGGTATTGTCTAAATATTTAATAATTTCAAGTGTCTGTTGAGGGAAAGGTTTTGTGTGTGTGTGTGTTTCCTAAAGTAAAGAAAATTCTCAAGGTCATATAAATAAGAGAATATCACAGAACTGAGTTAGGCCCAAGACATTAACTGAATTATAATGCATGCTTATTCTATGAAAAAGTAATAATGGACAGGTTTCCATAGTGTTATAATTCTACCTTTAAAAATTAACATGTAAGGACATGGCAATGACAGTATTTGAATTAGTAATTCCATTTTTGGTTGCTTATTTTTCCATTCTTGAATTCACAAACAACTTAATCTATTTTGAAAGTGGTAGAGGAAAGAGCCTATGGCTTCTTGATTTGTTCTAAAGACATTTCTACCTTAAATAAAACCCTATTAAATTTTAGAAATGCATAAACCCATTCCCAGAGCTATATCATAAATATTGGACTTTTTCTTTCTTTCTTTTTTTTTTTTTTATCTTCACCCAAGGACATTTTTGCATTTATCTTCAGATAGAGTGGGAGGGAGAGGGGGAGGAAGAGAGAGAAACATCGATGTGAGAGGCACATCGAGTGGCTGCCACCCACACGACCCCAACCAGGGCCAGGGACAAACTGCAACGAAGGTACGTGCCCTTAGTGGGAACTGAACCTGGGACTCTCTGGTCCGCGGGCCAACGCTCTAACCACTGCTCAGGGCAGATATTGGATTTTTTCTAAAGACTCATACTTTTTGTTCAAGGAATGCAATTCTGTATCTAATTTTAAGGCTTAAAAGGATAGCCTTTTAAAAACAGTTTTTGCATACCTATTTATAATAAATTAAATATACAGAAGCAAATGAATATTCCTGTTGTTCCATAACCTAAATAGATATTGCTTTAGCAATTGTCTAATATGTGGATTTGAAATTCTTAAAACTTCAATTTAATCGCAATGTTTAAGTAAGTGGAAAATACCTTACAACTTTTATAAACTACATTCAATTTAAAGTAGGTGAAGACTTTATCATGGGCTGAGTATTTGAGCTTCATACAAAGAAATCCTTTGATTTCATCTAGATAGTCAGGTTGTATTCCCATTTAAGATTATATAGCCCTGACTGGTTTGGCTCAGCGGTTAGAGTGTCAGCCCGCGGACCAGAGAGTCCCAGGTTTGGTTCCCCCTAGGGACAGGTACCTGGGTTGCAGTTTGTCTCTGGCCCCCGTGCGGGGCATGTGGGTGGCAGCCACTCCATGTGTCTCTTTCACATCGATGTTTCTCTCTCCCTCCGGCTCTATCTGAAGATGAATGCAAGTGTCCTCGGGTGAGGGAAAAAAAAAAGATTATATATAGGATAAAGAAATTCACATTAAGTCTCCCTGACATATTGATTAGATGATTCATCAAATATCCTATTATACATATTAAGTTTAAATATGTAGCATTAATATCTCTTGACGTATGTTTTAATGAATTTCCATTATATATATCAAATTAATACTACTGTAAAAAGTTCAGAGTGAGCTTGTTTTAAATTTTCACACACCTCAAATACTGTAATCAACCTATTATGTCTTATTTTAACAGGTGTCTAGTTTTTTGTCTCAAAACAGGGACAACTATGTTAATTAGACATTCAGGTAAGAAGAATTTAAGTGCCTATTCTGAGAAATGTAGTTTTTAATCCCTTAGTATTCTTATGTATTGCATTTGCTTTAGTAATGACCACTAGTCTCTAATATAACTCACTACTTTAAAGTTCCAGTGATGTTTAATTAATTCTTAAACTGTAATTTAGCCTTGTCCTAACATCAAGAACTTTTTCCATTGTCATTTGACTATGGCTGATCTAACATTTGCTAAGGAGTTCCCAGGAGCTATTGGGTTACTAGTTTCAACTGACCCCTACACAAACACTGAATGGCTGCTTTTGGTGGCTTTATCTTAATAATACTCAGATCTTGATAAATTTGAGAAGACAGAATTAAATAAAAAACACTTGAGAAGGCTAGGAATTTTACAACTTACTTTTCAAAATAATAGAAAATGAAGTATCTACATAGATTGAAGTTAGTGTTATAACCAGTTACCAGAGGCCAGGCCACAACATCAGAGAGACTACCACTAGTCATTTTTCGGTACTTTAGAAACTAATGTCTTCCAAAGTGAGGTCTAAAATGAGTCATACTAATACCAAATTGAACTTACAGAAAGACTCCATTATTATTTTGAAGTTAGAGCAAGGGATAAACACTTTCAACAAATAACTAACAGAAGTTTTATAGCATGGGTATTATCTTGGTAAAGATTAATGCTAAAAGTCACTCTAAGGCTACTAATAACCTGTTCTCTTAGTAACAAGGTAGTATGTCAAATATTTATGTGATATCATCTCTAGTCAATGAAACACCCTGAATGCCTCCTTGCTGAAAACTTTCCACCAGCTTGGCACCAGCCCTGAAAAACCCAAATTATCTTCAGCTTTCCGGTGTAATTTTTTAAAGTTTATTTTGAAGCAATTTCACATTTGCGTTTTTATCTTCATTCCCCCACCCAAATAAGACTCGCTTAAAAGAAGAAGAAACGTATATGTACATAGTCAGCTATTCTGTGAGGGTCATTACCAAAGCCCGATATTTTTAGGCTAAGTTGTTCCCTAGTTTTTATATTATTTCAAAAATTAATCTCTGCATGATAAAGAAGGGTCTACCACTAAATTTAAAATATAGCTTCTATAATTCACTGTTATCTTATGAACAACATGAAGCAAATCTATATCACTTGGAAAGAGATATCGAAATATCTATGTGCGGTGAAAACATTAAGTTAACTATGCATTTTCCAGGCAGCTCTACAAAATTTCTCCCAAGTTCCCCTAAAGAGAATAAATCAGAACAAAGCAGAAGTGTAATTCCACAAAAAAAATAAACATGAACCCCCCTTCTTCCAAGGATGTGAATTTTAAAGCCCAGGACAGTGGACCCCACAGGGTTGCAATACGCCTCTCTGTAATAATCTCAAATGAGATATATAGGAATATGGACAAGTTGTATGTTAACAAAATACAAGACTATCTTGTAGTTTGCCTTTAAAGTTCTTTTTTTTTTTTTTTGGTACATGCCCC